CAAATGGCAATATCTTGGCAATCTCTCGCAGTTCTTCCTTTCTATCACCATAATAACCTTTATACAAAGTTAACTAGTGGGAACAGGTCCATGTTTAGGAGATGTAGGAGAGATTAACCATTATCAGAGACCGTCTCCCCTAGTCCAATTGTGTGTTTCCAAGACTTTATCCAGACAGTATATGGATTTTTAAATGTTATTTATTTATTTTAATGAGTGTGTGAACTTTAATAAATATGTGTGTGGACTTTTAATAACCCTAGCTAGGATGCAGACTCCAATCTACATTCAAAAGATCTTTTCTGGGTCAGGGCCTCCTAGCTTCCTGGTGTGATAAATATTGGCAAGCACCACAGGTGTTTTCCCCTAAAAAGCAGCAGGAATTTTAGTGCTGAATATCTAACTATATCGATTCATAATAACAGACTAATTTTCTCAAAGATCAGGGGAATTCTAGGATGTCACCAAGATGTAAAACACATTTTACAAGGCAATATGAAATCCAGACCAAGCACCAACTATCTGGGTTTGTCTGCTGCTGTGGTCTTTTCAGCACCACTGTGTTGGCAAAACACTTTCATCAGCTGCAGAGATGATGCAGAAGCTGCTCTGCCTCGCTTCTTCAGCCCTCAGGCTGGTAATGCCACCCAACCAGTGAGCTGTGAGGTGGAGCTTGGAACAAGACTAACAGTCATGTTCAACTTCTCAATCTCTACTAATATGAAGTCATTTGAAATGCCACAAGCCAGGGAGAGGGCAAGGCTTTCATCTCATGGTTCTTTAAAATCACATCGGGCTAAGGTGGAGAGAGCATGGGCACCACCTGTCACATCAAGTGAGGAGTAAAGTGGTTCTCCACAAATAAAAAGTAATTAAAATTAATAATAATAGGCCAGGTTCGGTGGCTCCTGCCTGTAATCCCAACACTTTAGGAGGCTGAGGCAGGTGGATCGCTTGAGCCCAGGAGTTCAAGACCAGCTCAGGTAACATGGCAAAACACCATTTCTAAAAAAGTACAAAATATTAGCCTGGTGTGGTGGCGAGTGCCTGCAGTCCCAGCTACTTAGGAGGCTGAGATGGGAAAATCACCTGAGCCCAGTAAGTCGACGCTGCAGTGAGCTGTGATTGCACCACTGCACTCCAGCCTAGGCATCAGTTTTTTGAGATCGTGTTTCAAAAAAAATTAATAATAATAATAATGTGTTATTGATGGCTATGTATTCTTCTATACATTCCCCCCCAAAAAAGTCTTATTAGCAGTTTGCTATGAGTTAAAAGAGGGAACTGGCAATAGATTCTTAAAAGAAACTTCCAAAAACAACCCAATTGTATGAATGTTGTCAAGATTTTGTGTTACGCATGTTTTATGAATTAGTAACACTAATAAGCCTCTTACTTCCAAGAAATGCATTTCTTGGAATTTACTCAAAGCTTTTCCTTTCTCCCCTTACTTCCCTTTGATAAATTACATTTTGCCAACTTAAAGTAAATGACATTTCCCTGAAAAGTTGACAAAGTACCTTACCAACAATAGCACTTTTAAAAGTAATCATCACCAATACTATTAGAGTGAAAATAAATCACATTGAGTACAACTCAGCATGTTTCATTTTTAATAAAGTTTCTAAACTTCAGCAATATTCTTGAGTGCCTGTTAAGTGCAAGGCCTCATGCTATACTCTCTGGGGAACTCAAAGATAAGCAAGATGTGTCCCCAAGTCTCAAGTAACTTGTAATCAACTGAGTGCCCTTCAATAGTACACAATAACAAACCATCGTAATGAAAAGCAATAGTCGAATTGATCTTTGGCACCTTGAGATTAATGACGTAAGTTATTTCATTTGTGTCATGAAACAATAGCAGAGTATAGGGTCTGTTGATTGATGTTTATTTAAATGACTGTGGTGAGAAATAATAAGCATCGTGGTCTGTTTAATTACCAACCCCTGGAGTGATTTTTCTTTTCCATTTAGGCTTAGTTTCCATTATTGAGTTAAAAATGCTGTCTACTGCAGTTTTCTGGAATGGGTTCTTTGGGTGCCTCAGTAAGTTTAACTCTGCCCTAGGTTGGATGTTATGTGTGAATGTGTATGTGAGTGTGTTTATTAGAGCAAGCTCTAATGGAAACACCTGCTTGTTCTTGATTCTCTTAATGAATTGTCTTGGCATTACTAAATGGCACCACAAACCAATTATGACACGCTGTGTAGAAGCCATGCACTAACATTGCTCTCAAAAAGCGGGCCACTTCTTTTTCTAATCCTTTTGAGAATTTTATATGCATGCATTACACATACTCCACATGTAGGAAAATAATTCTAACTTACATTTTCATAGCACTTTACAGTTTACAAAATGTTTTCACTATCATAACTCACCTATAGCTTTTCCTCTGCTTGTATTTCCGTTTCATGATTTGTACCACTATGTACATTTATGTGTGTACATGTATGTATTGCTTAAGCTAGAAACCTTGGTATCTCCTTTATTATTGCTTTTCTTTTTATACATACATACAGCCTGTCTCCAAATTAAGTTAGTTTTATCCCTGAAGCAGTCTGCCTACTTCTATCTATCCCCTAGTCCACAGTCTCAGCTAACTTGCTGTAATATCTTACCTGGCTTAATGCTACAATTTCCAATTGGTCTCCCCTCCTCCACCTCTGTATTTGCCCCATCATATTCATTTCTCTACAGGCAGCCAGAATAATCTTCCAAAAAGCCAATTTAATTATAATGCCCCCTGTTTAAAACACATCCCTGGTCCCCTTTGCCCTTAGAATAAGTTCTAAACTCCTTAACCTGGCCAACTAGGTTTTGTTTTATCCAAGTCTTTTTTATTTATTTTTTTTTCTTTTTGAGACGGAGTCTCGCTCTGTCGCCCAGGGTGGAGTGCAGTGGCCGGATCTCAGCTCACTGCAAGCTCCGCCTCCCGGGTTCACGCCATTCTCCTGCCTCAGCCTCCCGAGTAGCTGGGACTACAGGCGCCCGCCACCACGCCCGGCTAGTTTTTTGTATTTTCAGTAGAGACGGGGTTTCACCGTGTTAGCTAGGATGGTCTTGATCTCCTGACCTCATGATCTGCCCGTCTCGGCCTCCCAAAGTGCTGGGATTACAGGCTTGAGCCACCACACCCGGTCTCTCTTTTTTTTAAGCTTACTTCTTCATGACAACCCTTACATAGCCATGAAGAATTATTAGATTGAATCATATGAAACTTCCACTACTCAACCATTTTTGCAAAACAAATATGATACGTTGTTGTTATTCAAACTAAAATAGGCTAGATTATTTTTTTTCTTTTTTTTTGCTTTCCCCTTTTTGTTTCTTTCATTTTGATTTTTTTTTTTAGTTCTCTACCTGGACAATTCCAACTTATCATTCAGATTTGAGTCTAGACTTTAAAATTCATCTTTGGAAGCCCTATCTGACTATATCATCCTCCCTTCTAGATTCAATTAGGTATTCTGTTTTTTACCCATGTACGAATTGAACTTACTGCCCAACATTGTAATTGTTTCATCTTTCTGTTTTTTACCACTGTACATAAGCTTCATGAAGGCCAGGGTCAGGCTTATTCTGATCACAAATATAACCCAAGTGTCCAGCACAATACCTAGCATATATTAAGGTTTTAATAATGAATTGTCAAATTAAGAATAATTAACCTAAAAAAAATACAATGAATTCAATATTTATTTCCATCACCTCATTTGGTCCTCTCAAAAAATTCTAATGTTTTCTGTTTTTGACATTGTACTACCATTATGTAGGCTAACATTGGGGAAAGTTGGGGAAAGGATTCACGGGTCTCCATGTACTAATTTTATAAGTTCCTGTGTGGCTATAGTTATTTCTAAATACAAAGTTAAAACACGGTGATGTAGACAGGCCAAAGATGACAATTTCTGTTTGCATCCAATCAACAGGGCTTAGATAATGAGCAATTTATGCAAATCACATAATTAATAATTGACAGACACATGACCTGGACATTTTTGAGTGAAGCCACCCAGAAGTTTTTTCCTTTCCCTGGATCTTCAAGTGGACCTAGCACCAAGTACCATGTTTTGTCCTGAAAAACTTAACGTTGTACTCCAGATCCTCTATGTTGATTTGTAATTGTTTTCCTAAACTGAGAAGATGAACAAGTAGGAAACAGGATAACATCTTTAGGTTTCTTTCTTAAAGCCTAGATCCTAGATTCATCCCATGCAGTCAGCTTCCTCTATCTTTCCTTTGGCTCTGATCTGGACTCTCTTTACTTACTAGTAAGTTCATGTGTTCATTAAACAATCTTTGTTGAAATTTGCTAAATCCCATATTATACTCTGGAAGCTGTGGAAAGAAAAAAAGGTACAATACAGCCTGCCCCCAGGGAGCTCACATTCTAAGCAGGGATGGAGGACAAGTGAGCACTTAACGAGAGGGCAGTGTCATAACTACTGCTTTAGCAATAAATACAGAGAGTTAGGCACACAGAGGAAGCCCCTGATGTGGCCTTCAAAAGTGTGTAAGCTCTTTTTTAAAGAAGGTTATTTGTAAACAGAATGCTAACAATAGGACTGAATGGCAGGATGGGTGGGGTGGGAGTTGTTGAGGGAGAAGGGATCACGTACAAAGATGCTGAGGTAGGAAAAGCAAGATTGGGAGGACTTTCCCAAGGAGTAGGCATGACTCTGACCCAAACAGCACTAACCCCTACCTTTACATTCAGAAGAAAAGTTAAGACTTCGTCTTGCTTCTCCCACCTAAGACACCTGCAGAGCAAGGTATGAGGAGGGGTGGATCTTGCTATTCTCCATTGCCAAGGGTAGGGCATCCGTCTTCTGCATTGCATATGTGTGATCTTTGTCACCAGTACTGAGATACTGACAAGGCTGTTTCCTGAACAATGAAGAGAGTGTGAAAGGGAGGAAAAGGGATGCAGGGAACAAACATGACTTTTGAAATTGAAAGAATTCTATTAATTTTTCCTATTCTTGTTTTCCTTTTCTAGGTAAGTGAAACCAAGTGTTACAGCACAACAATGGTTACTGGACTTTCTCAACATGTAGTGATTTTCTCCACTGAATATGCCACGGGGAGACTTTTCAATATCTTCCATCACCCCTGTTTGACTCGTGAGTCTTTATCCAGAATTTCTAAATAACCAATAAGTAACCAGGATTAAGAAATATTTAAGTGTTTACATTTATATTGCTATGTGATTTTTAGTTATATCTTTAAGGTAAGTGGGCCTATTTAAGTCTTGATTTTAATTAAAAAAAAAACTGAAAGGAGTATTATTCTCTTTACAGAAATATCCATGATGAATTTCCATTGAAGAACAATCTTTGATGTGTTTTTCCTTATTTAATTTACATTAAATACATTTTGAGGGGAATCTAAGATATACATCTCTGATTCATTGAAGTACACCTCTCTGTACATGTTAGCGCTTCTCTTTTGTTCCTGTTCCCCTTAAAAGATTGACTCAAAGGTATGAATTGGCGTGGTTCTTGGTGTGCTCTAGAGTGTAGGATATTAAAATACATGGTTTCTTTCCTGTTGCATCATCCAGTTCTACTCTGATGTCAGCATTTTAAAGTTGTAGCAAATGAGTTCTTAGCAGTGCAGTGTTTAGTACAATTTAGTCGGCAAAATGGGAGAAAAATAGTAAAAAGAGGGAAAATAATACTTGGGAACTCTTAAGTATTAGAACAGTGACTTCTCTTAGAAAATTGGCAGTGACTCCTCTTGGCCTCTGGCTAAGTTTGGCCACTCTTTGACTTTTCATACTTAGCAATTCTTCAATTCCTTATCTTGCTTTCCAAAATCAGTTGTTGTTTTTGTTTTTTTTTTCTACAGAGAATGCATCAGCAATGTTTTATTTTGCTATTTGCATTTACTCTGGGCATTTCAGATGTTCCAGTGAACTGAGTCATGTGCCACTTGTGTGTAATTTGGTACAGGTACCCCTGTCCTTCACAGACAAGTGACACACCTCCTTATTCATAATAATTATCCTACTGATGGAGCTCATCGAGCCAACCCCTCAGCTCACCTGATAGGGACAGAGGTTTCTGAGGTGCTGCTGATTTCTTGTTTGAATTCAGTCATCAATATCCATGTGTGGAATTATTAATTACAAAGCACAATGGAATGGTGTTAGAGCAAAAGATGGAACAGTTTTACCTGAAGGTCACTGTTGGAATTGGCCTTCTGTGATACATTATTATAAACATTTCCTTGTGTTTAATTGTTGAGTGCCTCACTCAATAATTTACTATTGTGTGTCAAAATGGGCCTTGCTCTATATGGAAAACGTAGGATGAATGTATTGCTGTGTATAATGTAGTTTCTAAATTCAGAAGTGAAAATGGCCCAAGTATCTCTGCTTTTAAACACACACACACACACACACACACACGATAGTACTGATGTAAAGAAAGCAACCATAAAATTTTGAATTTGTGTCAGCTCCACTGTAGCACCATGGATTTTATCATCATATTTGTAAAGCACAATACAAAAACAGCACTAGCCTTAGAGTCGTAAAGTCAGAGCCTTAAACCTAAGTTCTACCTTTTACCATCTTGTGGTATGGAGTCAGGCACTTAATCTTGCTGAGTCTCAATTATTCTTAATATATAAAATGGATATAATGGTAATTATTTTCTAAAGTTATAATGAATATACTGAGAATAAAATTTCATGAAATATTATGTGTAAAAGTCCTGATACATCATAGATTATCAATAAATGGTAGCTGACATGAAGGTGGAGAAGAGAAAAAGAGGAAGAAGTCGGGGGAAAGAATGATGGGATGATGGTGATGGTGGTGGTGGTAGTAATGGTGATGGTAATGATGTTCTGAGCCTGGAAATATCAATGTCATAGCTCCTTTTAGGCATTGCTTTTGTTGTGTCTTTATGATTTCCATGTAAATGTGAACAACTACCTAACCGAGAATTTTAATTTCCAAACTCTTGATGTTGTTTACAACCATATTATACAAAATAACAGATGGTTTTATTATTAGACATTAGTCATAGATTCTCTGTAGAAAAGATCCAGTTGTGATTAAGTGTTGCCAAACTGGCTAAGTCTTATGAAGCAACTTTTGGAGTGTGACTGCTGGGATCTCAGCTGGGCTCCTGTGTTGCTGCCTGGGCAAGTGAACCAGTGAGTGACCAAAGGAGAGAGTATTTCAAGCATGAAAGTAATGAAGTCTTCCCTTCCAGCCCTCACTTCTCACCACTGTTTTTAGAGAACTGTGACTTTTTTACCAAGCTGAATCTTCATATTTCTGCCATGCTCTCACCTCCACTGTTGGCAAGAAGAGCAATAGGAATAATAGCTAATATTTATATACTGCCTCCTCTGTGCCAGGCACCATTCTAAATGGTTACATGTGTTTATTTAAACTGCACAATAAAAGTTTGACAGGCAGGGTTATTGATCGCTTTATAGATAGGAAACTTAGTTGTAAAATATTTGAGTAATTTTTCCAAAATATTTGATCTTCATGCTTGTGCTCTAAACCACTATGAATATTGACCTTAGATTGAAAGATCTGAAATTTCTTTACCTTTGAGTTAAGCATACCTACTTTGGTGGTATCTTTTTAAATCACAAATATCATCATTATCACTATAATTTTTAACCTCTTACTAAGGATGTACATACAGGCGATGTACATACAGTATGTAATTGTTCTCCCATAATAACCCCTCAAAGACTGTATCTTTTCTATTTTATTTTGTAGTTGAAAAAATAGCACTCAGATAAGTGACTCTACAAGACTATGTGATACCACTAGAGAGTGGCAGAGTCTGATTTGAAGTCAGATGTACATGACTCCAAGTCTACACCCTTATCTACCATCCCACGCTAACCACTAAACAATATTAAATAGGATATCCTTAGTGCATGGTGTGACTACTTCAGTGGTATATGAGTTGTGGGGACTTTTCCATTTCAGGAATGTGTTCTCTATGTGGTGTCCCAGCTCGGTGTGGTATCCCTTTACAGAATAGCTCTGTGACAGAGCCTACGTCCATGTGCCTAGGGCAGTGATGATAAAAGGTACTAGATTTCTTATGGTTGCTGACCGCTCAGTGATGCTGAGCAAGCCTCCATTGGGCAGCTCTACATCCCTGTTTATTTTTTTCCTATATATCAGCATCATGCAGGTCTATACTAAAACGTAACTGTAATTTGGGTCCATGTCCTGTTTTCACTTCACATAATCTATCCTCTGTAGCAGTTCAAAACATCTGAGAAGCAGAAACTACTTAAAAAATATTCCCATTTTCATCATCACCCAAAAGAACTTCTAAATCCTCACCATCTCCTTTCTTTTGCTTACATTCTCAAAGATACTAGCTATGGATTTATAAGATATGCTTCATACAAGTAGCATTATTAAGTTAATATTTATGCTCCTCTGAATTGTATCATTTGAGTACAAAGCTTTGATACTCGTTAAAACATGTGTTGATTCTTTACACACTTGTTTGAATGAGTTTATAAAGTAATTTCTCAAAATAGATGTTGGCCAGGTCATGGAGAGTGACATCACGGAGGTCCTGGGTATCTGGGGAAATGTAGCAGGCAGGGGTCGTTCTACTGGAAGAACAAGAAGAGAAGACTATAAAGAGGCAGGAGACATTTTTGAATAGTAGTCAGTTTCTCCTAGTGCCAATGTGGTTTCTGTCACACTTTCTCTCTTAATGAGTAAGGCGTAAGTTCTCTGGTAAAAATTGTCTACTTTCAGAAGTTACATGTATGATGAAATGGTCTGCCTCGGGCTATCTGTATTGATTGTTTTCAGGAAAATATAGAATAAGCTGGGAACATATGTGGTACCCATTACATTCTCTTTTCCAAACCAGATTTATTTGTTTCAAGTTTGTTGGCTTAGGTCAAGGTGGGAGCAGGGGTAGAATAAAATAGTTAGTAAGGTAGATGGGTGTATGTGTTTTCATAACTTTAAGACTGAAAAAACAAAAACCTCCAACCAATAATGTAATGTAAGAGTGCTTTTAAAACTGCATAGTGGTTATTTTTATGGGTTTTATCATTTCCCCTCATACTAGAGACTGAAAGGAAGTCCATGGAAACCATGTATAATCACATGAGGAAATACACTGACCAAATCTGAAGAAGTTTGATGTGTAATACTGTCAAGAATTGGAGGAAGAGGAGGAAATTCTCCAATGGTTCTGTGTTCTTATGAAGCAGAATAATGATAAAGTGATTATACGTGGAAATTTCTTCCGTAAAAATAATACATTAACCTAAACATTTAAATTGATTTTTGCAGAACTCTTTACACACAAACACATATACACAAAATTCATTTTTCTCTAGTGTTTATGTGGTTAGTACCTAAGACATTTTTGAGAAATTGTATGTTTTATTTAATCTTCACTGATAAAATGTATAGAACGTATTCCAGTTGGTCCATATCCTTCATGATGGGACTTAGAATTGAACTTAGCATTTCAAGCATTGTCTTGCCAGGGCAACTCACGTTTGTGCAAAGGAAAAGTAATTATTCCAGGAACATACAGTAGGTATTGTGGCTGCTCCCCAGAAGAGGGTGTTCTTTCAATCACACTTCAAGTTAGGCTCTAGGAGGTAGTAGTCTGGGTTGATACACACGTGCACTGCAGTTAGAGAGCCTCCATCCATAACCTGTTCCTCCAACTTACCAACTAGATGTCCATGACCTCTTTGTTGTGAGGATTAAGACATAAATTCATGGAAATAGCTCTGATTCCCTCTGAAAAAAAATAGTTAAGTGCCCAAGATACTAGTTTTTATAATTAAACCCCACACAGGATTGTAAAGGAGATTTTCACATACTTTTCAGTGTCTTATCATTACTGCTGGAACTAATGCCGCCATCATTCTATAGGAAAATTATTTCCTCCGGGGACTTTCTGCTTCTGACAGTGGTGATGGCTCTATAGATTAATTATGGAGCTTTGCTTCCACATGGCACTACATTTTTAACATTCATATTTCTTCCTGAAGGAAAAGAAATATTTTTGACTCGAGTTTTTAAACTATAATATTTAAGTGCTGGTTTGCGCGATTCATCAAGTGTTTTCATAATCTGGTTACTCTCTTGGACTTGTAGAATTTCAAATTAGGAAGGCTAGAATTGTAAATTACTTTTGTATATACAGGCTGGGCCATATGTGTAAAAAAAAGCAGAAAAAATTAAAGAAATGGCTTAGATTGCTGAAGGGAAATAAAGCATCCACAATTCAGAATTGCTTCAAATCATGTGGCTATTTGGGTTTTAAGTTTTATTCTGAATGCTTCATTTTCTCAAATGCTTATTAGACCACCAAGAGTCTTAGACTTGTGAGCATCTCAGGTCATCTGAACCTAAACTTCAGTGTTATGCAGCTTTATGTGTCATCCTCCTCTACTGGTGAGCTAGTCTATGTCTGAACACTTCCCTCAAATCCAAGATAGTCTTCATTCTGTCTTTGGATGAATTTATTAGAAAACACTTTCTTCTTTAGACCCATATTGTTGCTTCCGGTATTTGCCAGCCTTGATCTTTTCTCTCCTCTGTGAGACTCTCAGTTGTAGCTTTAAAATTCTCTTCTTGGCTGGGCACGGTGGCTCACGCCCGAAATTCCAGCACTTTGGGAGACTGAGATGGGTGGATCACATGAGGCCAGGAATCTGAGACCAGCCTGACCAACATGGTAAAACCCTATATCTACTAAAAATACAAAATTATCCAGGCATGGTGGTGCATGTCTGTAATCCCAGCTACTTGGGAGGCTGAGGCAGGAGAATCACTTGAAGTCAGGAGATGGAGGCTGTAGTGAGCTGAGATCGTGCAATTGCACTCCAGCCTGGACAACAAGAGCAAGACTGTCTCAAAAACAAAATAAATAAAGTAGAATGCTATTCTTAAACACTAAATATATTTCTCCCTACCTTTCACATTCATCAAATGATTGAACTAATGTTATTAATTCTCAATATATCACCTATGTAACTACTCGGAGTCTACTTGAGAACTTCACTAGATAACCCAATATACGTACTTCTGCAAAAAGACACAAACTTAGCATTTCATGGAGGGGGAGAGCGCAAACATGCTGTTTCACTTCCCCTAGCAACGTTCTGATTCAATTTTGAATGGGTAAAGTTATGCCAGGACAAATAGCTGCAGATATTCCTTTTTGCAGAAAAGTATCGCAGGACTGTACTTCTTTTAAAATAGTTTTTGCTTTTGTTTTTCTTAAAGTGATTACCTGTTGTTCTGTCAGGAATGCTCTTTCCCAAAGAAGCTGTGGCTTGCGCATTCATTTCAAATTACAAAAATAAAAACTGAGAAGAAGAGAGAGAGAAAAGTGAAGCAAAGAGTAGAAGGAAAGAAGAGAGGGAGACAGGAGAAAATGGGAAAAGGAAAAAGAAGAATTAATTGAGATTTATCTTGGATGTAGAACTAACCTAAATTTACTCAGAGAGTAAAAAGATTTAAGCAGAAATAGTCTTGATTCATAATAGGAAGCTGAGAACTTTTTACATGGTAAATAGTGTTCTGAGGGTTTTAAATATATTAATCTTCCTAGTCTTTCCTAAACCCATTGAAGTAAGTTTGAGCATCGGCATCTCTGCAACTGAGGCAGCTGAGATGGAGAGAGGTCAAGTAATTTGCTTCAAATAACTCAGCTAAGAAATGATGGGGCTGGGAATTGAGCCCAGGAAATACTCTTCCAGAGTTTACACTTTTAATAACACCTCCACCAA